GATGCCATTGCCCGAGTGAGATCTTTGTCAGCCACCGGTGGCTGACATTGTCACGGGAAGGGTTAATGGGGCGGCTCAATCTTCTAATAGTTGCGACGTGCAATGAAGAAAGGATTATTCTTCTACAGCCTACGAAGCTTTGCTGAATAACTCGACGGCGATCGAGCTCTACAAACCTTTCAAACTTAAAACTGTGCTAAAGGAGGGTTATGGCAACTACCATCAAGTCAGCGGCTGGCCAAGTTCCGTATCAGGTGGAACTGTAACAGTGGAAAGGAGAACTCTTAACATTATGTCAGAATTCACCAAAATCTTCAAAATACGGGTTCAGCATTTCTCATTATAAAGCGTACCGACACATCTTTGACAGTTGTCCTACACGCATGTCGCACAACCAACCCTGCACAAGTTGGTCCAGCTAGGTTAGTAAGGGTGCTGCTGCAAATATTCTACTCAGTATACCTCTAGGCTATCAACTGTCACTTTTTTGGGGCCTCGATAGTCCCCTTGAAGAGAAATGCTTCAAAACACAACGACCTTCCCTCACTTCACCGCATCTAGGGCTCCAGCATTCTAAACAAAGGTAATCACTGAAACGTCTTCTTATAGTGGAAAGTTAGCGCATTCAACGATTTTTTTTTCAACTGAAAGTCGGAGATTGCATGCATTTGAGAATGCGGGGGTCGAAAATGACCAGAACTGGTGTGAACGCCTAATACCATGTTTTTCTTCAGTAATTTCACATCCCTCAATTTTTTAAGAGCAGATATTCAAGAGAGAAAAAATTTTTTTTTTTCAAGGATTACCTTGATTTATTATGACGAAAATAAACAGAAGCCACGCTGAAAACCGTTCAGGCGAAACACTTTTGGACGGTCACGCGATTAGCATCTCTCTTGAGCGTTTTCCGTTTTCATTGCGTTGTTTTAAACCAATGCTCCTGGCAGTGTTGATCGCATTCACAGGGAACGACAATAACAAGGACAAAAAAATCAACCATCGCGGATATTTCCCTATTTTCATGGCAATCGCGATTGTGATGATTGGAACGCTCCCTTCAAGCTCTCATCGCTAATATCCATCCAAGGCGCTGACTTTTCGGCCAGAAGACCCGCGGACAACTCATGCTCTAATTATTGATATGCATGAGCTGTCCAAGCGTTCTTCAGCGAAATCGCTAGGGAGAATGATTTCATCGTGAGAGCGCTCAGTTTGCCACGTTCACTTCGTTCCTTCTTCTTCCGCTTCATTGATACTTCTCTTCCACTTCCTTCCACTCTTAATTATTTTTTCTCATCCCTACTGGCAGTAAAGGAAACTCGGGGCCAGTAATTTGACTTTTCGGTGTTGATTTTTAAGTTTTTTCGAACGACTTCCTAACCACGGGAAGTAATACAACCAGGTTTTATTTATTTATTTATTCAATACGCTGTGTAAGACAACGTTAGAAAGGAAAATACGCAATAAAACTATAACATCAACGAGAAGCTGAGGTAAATATAAACAAGTAAATCAGTGGAGAAGTGTTGCCGATTATGCCTTTTATGCCTTAGTTACGAGTTTTGCTATTGAGCGTCTGAAGGACGCCCGAGAGCTCGGGAAGCAATTGGATTTGCTATAACGTAAATATGCAAGACCTGCCCTAACCGTGAAAAAGGTACGCAAGGTGGGGAAAGGTTTTTCATTTCTACCAACATTTCCGGATACATTTGTTTACAGTACACGATGTTTATTCATTTGTTTATTTATTCATTCTTCAAAGAACCTTTGCTGCTGAAGGTGGCACAATAAAGCGCTATTCTTTATAAAAGGATGAAACGAAGCATTAATCATCCAATCTTCATCACTCCGCACGAACCATTCAGTTCAGAATCGTAATGGCAGGGTTGAATTTGATTTGGCCATAAAGTATGTTGCGAAGCTGCGGTGTACAAGACACTGGTTTTATTCTCTCAGACAAGCCTGGAAAGCCAAAAGATTTTTGTTAGTTAGTTAAAAAAAAATGATAGATGTTTATTGGTATTGATAATTTGTCAGAAATTATTGTTTATCATCTGCTTTTTGTTAATACCATCAGTCAACTCCATTGAAAGCACTGTGTTACTCAATGCAATAGCCCGGCATATACTCATTTTCAATGAAACCTTCGTTGAAATCCGCGCGGTAGCGAGCAGAGCTAAACTGGTACATAATAACAGTTGTGCGACTAGAGACAGTGGAGTGAATCATTTATTAATGACCACATCTCTTATATAGTCTTCCTTATCATACTTCCTCCGATCATTCCTTGATCCTCATCATTTCTTCATCTGCACGTCCGCTTCATTCCTATCGTCCTCTGCCCTAAAACCGGTTTCCCCCCTACTCCCATAACAATAATGCTATTCACTGTTCATGGGGCTTAGAGGCGGGAGGTTTGTGCGGTGTGAGTGGGGTCAAAATACGGCCGCCGATCTGGGGGTCCGGAATTATGCCACGAAAAGTGGAACACCTGGATCCTGTACGTTTACCAGGATTTCATTCTCACAAGGGAAGGATACCAAGTCGAAGTGGCCATCCGTAATGAAACCTATACTCAGAGATGTGTTTTCGGACGCTGATCTCGAATCCACTCTCCAAATTTGCGAAACGATTCTCTGAAAAGTGTTACGGAGGTTGTTTCGAATGAAAGCCCACTGTAAGAGACTCCGGCAGAGCTCGGCTTCCAGCGGCGGCTTGGCCGAGTGGTAGTGTTGGCGGCTTCCAGTGGTAAGACCATGGATGGGATCTTGCTGGGCATGATTTTTTGCTTTTTGTAATTAGGTCTAATTTAAATATAAAAAATTATTCAGTGTTGAAATTTTCACTGCGTCCAAAGCTAACGCATGTTTAGAGGGGTTTGTTTAACGCATTCCACTTTTTTCGTAATGTTTCGACCACTGCCGGGGTGTTTCTACGCCACGGAAGTGACGTATATCCGACGATGGGCTAAACAAATGGGAGATGCTTGCTCAACGGACCAAACTATCTTTGAAGGCTTAATTCTAGAAAGCTGACATTTGGACCCAATTTCGAAACTCGGTCTACAATGAGTCGTAGGTGTTATCCCTAGCCCCAGCCACTACCCTCCTGCTCCTCCTGGGCAGCGAGCGTGTACATGAAAAAATATCATATCAATCTTCGGATGGCACGAGCAGACAACAGGCAACTATATCTCTTTCACAATAATGACTGCAAAGTTTAAAGGAATCTTGCGCGGAAAATTCTTGCACTCTTTCCTAACATGAATATGTCAGTTGTGATCACTGGAAATAGCACACAAAGTTTCACGCATGAAGATTCGGTTTCTGAAGAGAAACAAACGTACAAAAACTACACGTTATGGACCATCGAAGGACCAGGAGGCAGAGCCAGGCGAGGCATGGAAAGAAGACGGCGTTTGGCCGGCTACGTACCAGGCGACGCAATGAGAGAATCGGGTTAAAGCGCGCGATTTCGGAGAGTGGAGACAAATCGATCGATGGAATAGGATGGAGTAGAAGTGTAAGATGTGAATGCAACGAAGCAGAAGGCCAGAAAGAGCTTCTAGTGAATGCACTCCAAGAACCAAGTTTGAGCATCCCCGTCGCCAGCATTCGTGAAAGACGTCCGTGGGCAATTCGAACGCGTAGCAGCCTTTTCGAGTTTTCGAATTTCTAATCAAAACGAAAGCAATACTTCAGTTCTTTTCACTATTATCGTGGATAATGAGTCTCAAGCCAGTGATTTATGGCTGAAATAGAATCATGATTTTTCCGCGCAAGATTCCTTTAATTATCACGATCAGGCTCTGACAGTGGGTTGATGGATAGATGACTGCCCACATTTTCGACTTCAAGTCAAAATTTTAGATTTGGACCAAATGTTGTTGAAAGGGGTGTTTCGACGCGCTGAACACGAATATCGCATCTGCTTGGCACGAAATTGCCTTACGCGTGCGCTACGGGTGTCAGAGGCGGTCACTTGCAAATGACGCGCACAGTGCTCGAAGCTCTTCGCCAGCTCTGTTTACTTGTGCTATAGGCAATCGCTGATAACTTAGCATGGATAAGAGTCCCTTAAACAACGTTCACAAGAAAAGCAAAAGTGGGAACTCGCCAAGAACGAACTTCCTCGCCTCGCTGCGCCGCACCGCTTGCCACTTGCAACTATCTTGTGGCATAACGGGACGTTTTCAAAGGTCGTTTCGCAGATTGGACATAAGCGTCCAAAAAACTCTGGGATGTATGTCTCGTTACAAATTGCCACTGCGACCTGGTATCCTTCCCTTGTCAGAATCGTGCGCGTTGGGACGGCGCCACTTACCACCTCCACTTCAACAAACCTTTTTGTGTAACCAATAGTGTACAGTTATTCCTTCATGTTTGACATAAAGGGAATGGAATGGTGAGAAAGTCATAATTAAAGATCGTCGGCAAAATATATAGAAACTCTTTTGTTAGAACAGGCTTGTTACTTGTTAATTTGTATGGTGCTGGGTTGTGCGATTCAGATTGGCACGGTGCACTGTTCTTATAGTTAGTTGAAGATATCCTTGTTTTGAGTACGCGACACGAGGCCCGTCGCGCGGCAAGAAGGCAGCGTACGCGGACACGAATCGCCCACGCGCGTCTATGGTGGTTTCGTGATATTTAAACGTGCTACCATTGCACATTCGCTGCATCGCACAGCACGCGACTGCGCTCGCTACGCTAGCACTCTGCCTTTTTTGGCGCGCAACGGACTCCTTGTCGGGTTACCCCTTGCTTTGACCGTAATGGAGGAATCCTCAGAGCGTAGTGACTTTGTGAACTTTTAATCGTTCAAGAAAATCGCATGCTTCTCCTGGCTGTGAGCTCATGCCAAAAAGTTTCACTGGCTCAAGTCCGACACAGTTATCAGCAATCTCCAAATTATTTCCGTGGCTGAAATCTGTAAGTTTCTCGAGGTTAAATAGTTTATTCGTTGTCGTGCACACCTTCCTCCTATCACAGAGGAGAGAGTTATCCGAATGGGAAGAATGGAAACGGAAACGGGTTGAAGGTAAAAGGATTGCTGGTGAATGGAAGTTGCGTGACGGATGGAGTGTTGGTGAATGGTAGATTGGAGCTGTACTGGGGTGTAGATGAGACAGAAAACTGTGATCTGCAGACGCCAACTGGACAACTGAAACAAATCTATGCAGTAATCGATTAATCTTTATTATAGTAATTCATTTTCAAATGTAAATTTGTTTTCAGTTTTTAATATAATTAAATAATCGCTACGAAAATCATACTGGGTACGCAAGGAGGCCTGTGGGGCGCGCGGCCAAAAATCGAGTCAGCGGACGGTGCTGTACAATATGGGACGTACTGTACATTTCTATCATTGACGGCGAACATACAGTACGCGCTGCGCGACTCGTTCGCTGACTCATGCTTTTTGCCCGCACCGACGGGCGCCCTGTCGAGGTACCCAAGGCACACCTCCGATAAACGTAATGACAGTAGAATACCCCACCCTCCACTCCTTGTGTTAGGTAGATTGTTCTATTTACAGAGGTCTTTTTCACGGCACCACTGTTTACGGTATTGGTAGCAAGCGCACATTTTGTTCATGGAACACTCTTAATGCACCTTACGCTTCAGAATAATGCCCGCTGGTGTCTGCGTCTCCACTGTCTTCGTCTCTCCTCGTACCCTTTCTCGTCGGCCGTACAAGGCCCCACATCGATGGCAGCAAGGGGCCTGCTTTGGGCCTTTGTCGCCGGCCCTTTTTATTTCCTACCAGTGGAAGTCTGGAAGTGCAACTTAGCGCCCTCCACTTTCGCGAAGTGGGCTTTGACAGATTTGGGGTATTCATAAATGGCTCGAAGCAATATGTTTTTGTGAAGATCACTAGCGAGATCCATCTAGTTCAAAATGTGATTTTATGACTGAAACGAACCAGCCAGAAGTGCTGGTTTGCAGAACACATGTGTTGAAGATGGGCATTGCTTGACGGCAATTCGTGTCACATTCTGAATCACTTGATATGAATGAGTGCCCAGCAGGCTTCAAATTTAGCTAATCACCTTGCTGAACACATTGTGCTTGTGGTTGGCATCCATTGCAGTTGGCCGGTTCTACCAGCACACATCTGAAGCCTTGTTGACATTGTATATTACAAGCACCCTGGATATTACCTGAAAATAGAAGATGAATTTTGAAGAAAATACCCGAATAGAGGCCCCTGGGTAGGGTGGAAATGATGTTGGGGCAATGGCCGCGTCTCCACGAACCCCCCTCATTCGACGGGGGTCACGATTATGTTACGATCACCCCTTCTATCACCCGTACTTCTGATTTTATAGCAAAAATTGTTAGTTTTAGATGAATGAAAGGGTAAAGCAGCGCCGCTGCGCAAATGCTACACGTCACAAACCCTAAAGCTGATATTGCTCAGGCTGACTTCTCTTTCTACCCTTTGCTATTCATTTATTCTATGTCATACATATTTGGCTAGAAGAAGGAATTATCAAATCGAATGACTAGGATGCAATGTGCTCTAGTTTTCAAGATCTCTTTGAACTCTGCAGGTTTTAGTGAGATGTTTCCACGCGACAAACACCCGTGTACTCGACAGGAGGCTCGTCGCACAGCGTGAAGGCAGAGACGCAGAGAGTCAGCAGACGAGCCGCAGCGTATTGCAGTGATTCGGCGTCAAGTCGCAGGCGTGCTGAGACGTATTAAAGAATGTACTGGTACGTCTTCTTAACACTCACTGCGACTCGTTCGCTGGATCGTCTGCTCCTCTGCCTTATTGCCACGCGATGAGGCTCCTATCGGGTACCCCAAACACGCTAACCCGGGCTAAATGCATATGGTATACCGCAAATGCTAAGCATTTCCCATGCCGTAAGCCTCATAACACAATCCCCAGTTCTCTAGAATAATGAAGGCGTGACGAGCCCCAACGAATGGTGAATTTTTGA